TCCAGAAATCTCCCATCACTTCATAGGTGATGCTCTGAGACACCTTCTGTGAAGAACATGTGTAAAGGCAAGCAGCCATAAGAGACATGGAGCAGGCAACACCCTCTTGTATGCCACACCTGAGGTTCTCTGGTGCTGTGAAAACAAGAGGAAGATCCTACTCCCTTTCCCAGAAGCGCTTTTATGTTTGCTACAGTTAACAGTAGCTTTATTAAAGACTCCTTAAGATAAGTTTCAGAGATCTCATTAATCACCAGCCTGAGAACATTACAATGATGAGCTGCCAAAGGCATGAGCAAATCACTCATAATTACCAGTTTTAGATGCTCCTTTCCAAAACTTGATTAGCTACAGATGCACAGGTGATATTTCCTACTGTCTTCTTTATAGCACACCCTCGCTATTATCCACTCTAGTCTGATTTAGGTTCTTATTAGAATAACATTGTGTTAATTAAGTTATCACATGCACAGAATGTTTCATGATGGAGACAATTAAGTGGGTTAGATGACTAATATTGCAAACTGTCCTATCAGTATCAGTGTCAGAGAAACTGATGAGGGATGCACACAAAAATGAACTCCTTGCTGTCACCCTACATCCCAACTGTGAACAGAAATGAAAAAAAGCAATGAAAAGTGGAGCATTAATAAACTTATTTTTTAAAAAAACATTTCTAGAAAATGTAAACATTTAGTTGAATCTGTTCTCTGAATGGCTGAAATCACTGAAACCGCCCACAGGAGTGAACTCATTTCAAGCACGTTACTAAGATTAAAATTTGCCCCTTCCAAAAGCTACTAATATTTCTGATATATATACTGAACAGGCACTTGGTGACACTGCCCTCCTCTACCATACGCCCTGAATTTGAATGCTCAGTGCATCTCTGGATGCACATATTCCATAAATACCTGAAACAAAAGGGAGCCTTACAGGAGGTGCTGCTCTTCTCAAGAGCCACAGCACAGCAGTGCTAGAGTAGCAGATGGCTATGCTTCCATCTTGCCCTCCCACTGGGATCCGGGGACATACTCAGACAAGCCTAAAGTTCCAGCTGCATTCCCAACCAGAACCTAGGACATGTGCACCGTCTTTGAAAGGGTTTCTCTCCACACCATGTGCAAAAGCATGAACATACCTTCACTGTTGCCCAATGATGTCTTGTTCTGTTACTCCTCACACTGCACATTTAGATACAAATCATGCTGGATCAACCCATTCAAAGCATCATTTCACTCCAGGATCAGCATTTCAGCCCTTCTTCCTTCAGGGGAAAACAGCACTTTCAAAAAATGTTGAAGCTAATTTAAGAAACAAACTCACCAAAAATGTGAGGGCTGCCAGGAATTCTTTAGTTATTCACAGAGGTTAAAGTTTTATTTTGATATAAAAATTAAATAGCAAAGTTGTTTTGGGTTTTTTTTTACAGTGATAAATTAGAAATTTACAGTACATACATTGAAGTAGATATACTTTCTGTACACCCCAAAATAATCAGTGTCTATTTCCTTAAAATTCAGGAAAAGGAGCTAACATGTCTGTTTAATGTAAGAGCTAAGCTTGTACCTCTCAGGCTGACACTTTTGGAACCTGCAGTGAGAAGAGCACATGCTGAGGGGGGAGATGGGAGCAGGGACTGCGTAATTGAAGGAAACGCCTGTAAAGTTTCTAGTTGTATAACCACAGCAACTGCGTTTCCAAGATAGGATTAGTCACACTGGTTTTGGCTTTAAATTCATAACAACGCTGAGATGAGAGAACCCAAGAGTTGCTGATACCCACCCTGCAACCACTGGTTTTTAGGCTACCTGTTGTGACTTCACAAAGTGGAGCAAGGCAAGTGCACATAGGTGAATACGTTTACGGAATGGTTTAATTGCTGCAACAACTAATTTCACTTTGGGTCAGTACAGCATGCCCCCGCCTGCTGGGGGATGATGTTTCTTCAGGAACAGCAGCCGGTGTCTCCCACCAGCCCCCCTCCTTCCCATCCCTCACATGCTTTAATATCCCCCCAGGTCCCTCATAGGGATACACAGTGCCATCCTCATCCAACTCTTATCATCTCACATCACCAGGGGCATCCCTCTGTCACAGTTCACAGGCAGAGATGCAAGCATTTGATAACAAGGTACTACTTAACATTCACTTCTGTGTAAATAACATGATTAAAACTCCATTTATTGAATCAGTCTGGTTAAACATGGGTCATATCGGCCAGGAAAGTATTCATAGTGTTTCAGAGTGAAGGACACTTGAGTGAACATGACACCTTGGCACAGCGCAATAGCAGGTTACCAAAAAAGACACATACTGCATCCTCCCTCCTTGAAAGCCGACATACAGTAGCTGACTTTACATTCCATGCTGCACCAGTGCAAAGACTTCATGATGGAGAAGCTCAGCCACCTGAAGATATTATACTTGTAGAACTCCTTGTCCACAAAGGCATAACCAAACCCAAACACAACACTAATAGCAAGAGACTTTATAAGGAGAGGATGAAAAGGCCTGGGTGGAACGTGGCATTGGCCAAGACAATGCTTGTGCATCTTGAGCAGAATGTCTCAAGTTGTCACCTGTTCTGCTGGAGAGAAAGCTCAGCTGTTAGGGTTTGTTTGGGGTCTGTTTTTTAATTAAAAAAAAAAAAGTGCTCTAGCACATGTTTTGACACTGAAACAATACATGCTTGGACATATTAGTGTTCACTTTCAGAGCTGGACTGAACTGTGGTTTAGGAAGCACATGGGCACCTGTGTGAAAAGCAAGTACTTTAATAAAGCAACATCTGTTCTCAGCTGCCCTTGAAGGTTGTGCAAGTTGGGACACCAGGGGGAATGCTCTGCAGTAGATCAGGTTCACACAAAAAAATGAAGCAAAAGTTTAGGGCACACAGATAAAAACAAAGGTCTTTCGAAGGGATAGAACATCAGAATGGTGTTCTCTTAAGTGTTTCTGGGATATTTCTATTTGCATAATCTTTCCTATTAGCCAAACAAGCCCCTGACACTAGGTTCAAGCTCCCAATGAGCACAAGCTGATGCCTCCTCAAATAAAAGGATAAGAAAACTCAACAGTTGCTTTGAAACAACATTATTCACCAAGAGGTTGGATCCCTTTACAAAACTGGAAAGGTCTTTGCTGTTCCTGAGGACTGAATGCCTGCTCACATTCTGTGTGTAAATATACATTAAGAAAAACCTCTCCATAGCCACAAGTGAGCAACTGAAGCATCGTTGTGAGGCAGTCAGCTGTACTGCGATGTCATGGGCTGAGAATGTTCTTTTAATTGCAACTGACACACATAATTATACAACTGAACTGTGTAACCATGAGGTTGCCAAGGAACTTAACATTTTGCTTCTCCCCAGACTGGCGTCTGCAGAGATACCATCACACTGAACAAAATAATATATTAAGACTTAATTGCTTTATGCAATGGGTCTCCAGAGAGAGACAGGTAAGTTTACTTGGAGAAAACTGGCATTGTTTAAAGGTATCCTCAGCTCAGTTTTTCTCTTTCCTTGAGGAAGGAACACTATATTGTAAGACTTTATTTAAAGATATTAAATGCAGCAGAATAAAGTAGTCTGTCGGAAATAGCAGGAGCACCTGAAGGGACAGGAGTGGAGGCAGATGGATAATGATAATTGATGCAGAAGACTATACACAGTTTTTCATTTTTGCTGACTCCTCTACATCTGACATTGGCCTTGAGTAAAGCTTTTAAAAAATTAGAAATATTCATAGAACCACAGAATAAATCAAGTGTGACAAGACACAGGGAGGTCCAAATTCCCACATGACAGAGTCAACCCTCAAATCAGATGTTACAAATGGTAAAAAAAAAATGAATCAAAATTATTATTAGGCCATCAGATGACTTCAAGAATAATCCTCACTAATACCTCACTAAATCCTACTCATCATGGGTAAAGCTCAGACCTGAAAAGCCCACTTGATATTTGCTGGAGGACTGATCCCTGGTTGACTTGCACAGTGTATGGGAACAACAGAATTCCTCAGGGCGTCAAGACATAATCCTCATCAAGTGCTTTCTTCTTGATGCTGAACTAGGAAAGAAGACATCTAACTGAGGTCCTGGGTACTCCACCTTCTGGTAACTGGACCCTAAATAAGCACAGAATTTGGCCCTGGACTGCCTTTCTTTCATCAGCTACGATGAAAGAACAGCAATCATCCCACAGCTGTGGGCTACAGCCCCTCAGCTTCTAAAGACTTCAAGACTTCAGTCACTGCATCCTGTTATAAAAAAAAAAAAAAAAAAAAAAAGGAAGATAACATGTTTGGGTATTTCACAGCTTTTAAAGCCTCCCTGGGCTCTCCTATTTTGGGCAGCATGGTTTATGGCTATTGTATCTGCAGCATGAACTTTTCGCTGTTTATTCTTTAAGGTTTTTTTTTTTTGCACCCCCCAGAGACAGATTGTGTAACTGTCTCCCTGTTCCATTCCCAACATTTACATAGCAATGCTTACACACCATCAGTCCTTCACAGGAGAGCAGTCAGACCATTGGCGTGTCATCCTTTTCTCAGACCACGGTCTCGTTCCCTTTTCCGGGTTTCACCCAACCATCTGCTCTCTTCTCCCGTTTCACTTTCCCTGAGTTCACCAGTCTGTTCGAGCACTTCTGCCACGTGTGCAGAGTTTTGGCTGACCAGATCCACATACCTGATGTAATACCCACCAGAAGGGACATGAAAATTTTGAGCATCTCCACTGCCATATTGGAATCATCTGCTGAATAGCGGAAAATGGCCCAGTTGGAGATTTCATAGAAATAGCAGGCAATGACACACGTTGCTGGGACGGTGTACAGCACTGAAAAGACACCTATTTTGACCATTAGTCTTTCCAGTTTGTCAGTTTTAGTTCCATCTTTCTGGAGATTAGACCTGATTTTAAATAAGGCCACGAGTCCTGCTGCAATGAATAAAGTCCCAATGACCAGGTAGGTAAAAAGCGGAGCGACAACAAAGCCCGTCAGTGCATCCAGGTTCTGGTTCCCAACATAGCAAAGGCCGGTGAGCTCGTCTGCATCTACTAGTCTCATAATTAAAATGACGATGGTCTTCACCGCCGGGATAGCCCAGGCTGCAATGTGGAAATACGAGCTGTGCATTTCAATAGCTTCGTGGCCCCACTTGAGTCCTGCAGCCAGAAACCACGTCAGTGTCAGAATAACCCACCAGATGGAGCTAGCCATCCCGAAAAAGTACATCAGCAAGAAAATTATAGCACATCCTGTGTTCTTAAGACCTTCTTGGATAAGAACAGGTTCTGCTGCCTCTTCAAAATCACAGGATATCCTTTCCCGGCCCACAGTTAGCCTCACAATATAAGCAATGCTATAAATATTGTAGCACATGCTCAAAAATATGATTGGGCGCTCTGGGTAGGAAAATCTGGATGAATCAATCAGGAAGGTCAGGACTGTGAAGGCAGTTGAGATGAAGCAAAGACTGGCCCACACAGCCATCCAGATATCTGTGAATTCTTTAGCTGACCTGCTGTAGAGACCAGCATCGTAGCCACATTTCAGGACACAGTTCAAGCTTCTCTTCACCCAAATGTACTGATCCGAGTTAGACCCCATGCTGTGGCACTCTTCTCCAGGCTGCAAGGAGGTCTTGCTGTGAAGGGGAACCTCTTCATCTCCTGGGCCCTCCATGCACATGTGGTTGTGATCATTCTGGGGTGGGAATTTGCTGCAGTTTAGGCTGTCTGGCCAGGCAAATCCAAATTCTTTTAACACAGGTTCACATCTTCTTTTGACAGAGAGGCACATGCCACCACAGGGACCTATGGGGATGTTAATCTTCTCTGTGCACATTGGGACATAGACCGAACACAGGAAGAACTGGAAGAGAGAAAGAAAAATCACAAGTGCGTCCGGGGAAAATAAAACAAGTTGAAATACAACAAGTTTTATTTTTCTGACTTTTTAGCAGTAATATTTAGTCCTTTGCCTTAAAAAAACAGGAAGCAGCATAAAACAAATAAACCAAGAACAATAAAAACAAAAGAGAAAAAAAATAAAAATGTTGTCTTCTTCAGTTCGAATGTGGTCCGAAGCCAAAGCCTGAACGTATTACTCCCTAGATTAGCTCTATGTAAATTTAGACCATCAGTTTCAATGAAGCAAGTGGGATTTAGCCAGACTTGAACCTCAAGGGTGCAATTTAAGAAAGCAGAAAAACCAAATTAAAGTGGCTTAAACAAATACATATATTTGTTCTGGGCATTGTCTGGATATTCTAGTTAAGAAACAAACAGAAAAAAAAAAGGCACTTGTTGAACTACTTTGATTCGCGATCTTCCTAGAAGAATGCATTTCTTTTACAATGAGTTCACGTACGTATTTACAACGATAATAAAACGTTGTAGTTTTTTCGTCTTTTGAATAATCGCGATTCGGCGACGCGACACCGTGAGAGGAATTGCGTGCTGACTCGGGAACTCTGCCCCGTGAAACAAGCTGGGTTTTGTTTGATGAAATCCATGCCCGTGGGGAGGACAGCGAGTCTGCTATTCGCTTGGGAGAGAAATTTCCGCGGTGAAGTTCCCGGGGGGCGGGGGGTGTCCCAAGTCGCCACAGCTTCCCGCAGCCAGCTCCGCTCGTTCCGCATGGAAGCGGGCGCGGCACCTGGGGCAAGGCCGGGACGGAGGGCAGAGCCTGGGAAAGCTCCGGGAGCCGCCGCAGCCTCCGCGGGAGGGCGGGTGGGGGGCACCGCGCTGCGCCCCTCGCCGCGGGCAGCCGGGACACAACCGGGACATCGCCGGCTCCCTGTCCCTCCGCCCAACGTGAGCCGTGCTGTTCCCAGCCAGCCAGGAGCGGCACTGCGAGGCGGCGGGACTTTTGGGTTGGTTTTGTACTGAGTTAAGGGGATCGGGATGAGGATAGGGATGCTGGGGGACAGCAGCCGGCCCGGGGACCGCACAGTCCCGCTGCGTGTCGCCCCCACCTCGCCCGCGCACCCAGGTCCCCTCGGAGCCCAGACCCACCTGGAGCTGGCTGGAGCAGCCGTACTGGATGAGCGGGGTGAAGGTGGTGAGCTGCAGCTCCGCGTCCGCCTGCAGCTCGTGCCCCACCAGGTTGGGCATCTTGGTGACATTGTAGCCCAGGTTCTGGCACATGGCGATGCGGATGGCGTCGCAGCGCCGCTCCTCCTCGTCGCCGAAGCCCCGCGCCCCGCCGAGCAGCCCCAGCAGCAGCGCGGCCAGCAGCCGGGCCCGGCCGGCCGGCCCCCCGCCGCCCCCCGCCATGGCCCGCGCTGCGGCCCCGGCCCCGGCCCCGGCCGCGCCGTGCCGCACGGGCCGGCTCCAACGGGGCGGGCCGGGGGCGGCCCCGCTATTAAACAGCCTCGACGAGAAGCGGCCCAGGGGAGGGACGCACCGCCCGGCCCGGCCCGGCCCGCCCAGCGCCACCGCCCCTGCCGGGGGAGCCCGCCCCGCCGCAGCGCCCCCGCGGCGCGGCTCGGCAGGGGAGGGCAAGGAAGGGGGTCCTGCCTGCGCCCCTCACCTCGGTACCGAGGTGTTCGCCTCCGTGGGTGGGGAACTCCGACCCGCACCCCCAACCCCGAAAAGCGGACTTTCACCGTCTGCATCCCACCGCTCCTCGCAAGTGTCCCCCCCTCCCTTCCTTCCTGGAGACCCTCTACCTGCACCTCCCATCCTTCATTCCTTCATCCCTCAGAAACTCCGGGAAGCCTTGCCTCCTCTCCCCACAACAGGTTCCCCCTTCCTCCCGTCTCGCATGGCCAGCGGCCCTGGGGGACGTCGTCACTGTCCCCAGTATTCCCACCATGCCTCGCCACCATGGGTGCTGGTCCCAGGGGTCCCGAAGTCCGGTTCCCCAGGAACAGGGTGGGCTGTGCCCCTCGCCGATGTGTTTAGGCTCATCGAACCACAGCCCTCCTTTCCCTTCTGCCCTTTTGTCAGCCCAATGTGCTCAGCTTCTTTACTGATAGATTAAAAATATCCAGGGTGGCTTTCTAAGCTGCCGCTTTGTCTTCCTAACGGGTTAAACTGCACTGCTGGGTCACATCTGAGCTTTAGCATTGTTTGTTTTTTCACTGGGGCCATGAAACCTGTAGAGCACTGCTAGGTACCTCCTGGCATTTGTATAAATCCCCGTAAAATAAGTAAGTGGGGATGAAGCATTTGTGAATTTTGGAGGAAAGGGCTGGATGATCAAGCAGACCTTTAACATGTCAGCAGGAGGAGGGATTATGAGGAAAGAAATGAGGCTCACACTTAAATTCTCTTGGTATTATTTACACCTGTAATAAAATCTGGTTGAGCTGGTTATGCCTTTAGCAAAAATATGTTATCTATTAATGAATTGTTTGTAAAGCACTTTGAAAATGTTTGTAAAGCCCTGGTTACGCGACCTCTTACTGTGTGCATACGGCATGTGGCATGTACATGTGCTCCTGAGCATGTCTGTCACGGGCAGCTATGCCTCCAAAATGCCCCTCGGGGCCTTCGCTTCTCCCCGATGTCCCCTCGCTGCATCACTCAGCTAAGAGTAAGATTTACAGACTAAGGCAGCCCTCAGCTGTGGCTTCTTACAGAGCACAAGATTGTAAATCACAGCAAAGCCTATGAAGTGCTCTGTGCTCACTCACTATGGGTTTCCCGCCTGAGGCTCCACCATTGTTGGGGTTTTCTTCACGTCTGAGAGGGGGGAAATGTGTATGAGTTGTGGGGACTCATGGGCACTGAGTGTGCTTTCCTCTAACAAGATGGATAGTGCTATAGCTGAGGTTTCACGAGCATAGGTATTTACACAGCTCTCATTGCTTTACAGCTAGCTCCAATAAACAGTGCCTCTAACCTCACAAAATCCTTGTGAGGCAGACAAGTAACATTATCTTAACTTTTTAAACACAGGGGCAGACAGTGCTCCAGTCCCAAGGTCAGGCAAGGAGTCTACGATGGAGCCAGCAACTCAACTATATCTTGCAAGGCCCATATTTACCCACGAGCATTGCTGTCTGTACCCAGCAGTGCTCAGCTACTAATCTGGGTGGATGATAATGCTGTGAACGCACACAGTGTGCTGCACATGTCCCAGCACCGCCAAATTCACCATCTACATCATACAAGCGTGGGGAATGGGTGATGGGTGCTCTCCACACAAACACCTGAAAGCAGAGACTTCCGCTGGAGAAGGTTTTGGTTGTTTCTGTTTTTGTTTTGTCCAAATCATGTACAAAAGAAGGCTGGAGGGAGAATGGTGGTGACCATAAAAAATACGCATTCTTGTCTTACTATGTGAAACCCCTTTGCATTTGCAGTTAAGCACTGAAGCAGAGTTTGCTGCTACCAAAATAGGGCTTTACCTTATTCCCATGAAAAAAAATCACCTACTGCATATTCAGAAGTTACGAAGCAAAATCCTCAGCCCATGGACCTGGTCCTTGGACTCAGTAAAGCTACAGTGGACACAAGTACCTTTGTAGAAAAAAACTCTCCCTCCCAAAAGAAAACTCTACCACTATTGCCTTTTCCTTGAGAATACAAAATAAATATTAGAAAGTGCTACACTGCTGTGTTTGCTTTGGAAAGTCTTTTAGATAACAGGAATTAGTTTTCAAAACAAGAGTGCTGGGAGAGGCAGTGGCAAATCATATAAGAGGTCGGAGCTGGAAAAAATGGCAATTACCCTGCTTTGAACCTTATGCATGTATTAACAATGGTTAAATCTCACCATGATAAGCATGTAGATAATAGTTTCTTTAAACAGATCAAAATAAGAAACCTCCTTAATAGTGGATTTATAGATTGTGAAATTACTGGGCAGTGTGAGATGCTGGACTGAATCTGCCACAGCACAAGCCGTGTTCCTTCCTCAGCTATTGATTGCCTGACTTACAGTATATTTTTTTTTCCTAATAAACCTGATTTTGAGGGTTCTTTAGTTAAAGAATTATCAGCCACCCTGATTATTATTTATTGCTGCTGCCAATAATTACATTTGGATTCTAGTTTGAGTTATCTTCAGCTTCCAGCCACTGATTTTTGTTCTATCTTTGCCAGACAGATTGAGAAGTCATTACTGAGATTATCCCTGTAGTAATGTCAGGCTGTGATTATGTCACCCTTTGGCCTTTTTGTAGTAAGCAAAATAGATTGAACTTCCTGAGTTTTTTATTGTAAGGTATCTTTCCCAATTCTTTAATCACACTTTTGATTTTAAAGGTGCAAGATTTGACCTTGCTGTTTGAACACCACTTTCAGCCCAAACTATCCTTTACAATATTAATGAATGTGTCTGAATTAGTGGCCTAAGCACCCCTGGTCCTTTTAGAGTCATCTAGGATAAGCAGACGCTTGAAGAAGGCAGTTCACATAATGGGAATTACAGGAATACAAAATCCTATTTATTATTATCTTGTTAATAGTATTTCCCCCTTAAGTTTATATGGGGTTTTTTTTGCATATTTATTAAAGCTATGGACATATTTTTACACTAAAAAAATAAGTAATGCTTACCAGCATCTCTCAGTCTTCCATCATCTTGCAGGGTACCTGAGAAGTTTCACAACTCATCAGAACATTTTCAATGCATCAACATTTGCCTGAATTGTAGTATTAGGACATGGCTCAGCTTTCCCATTGGAGTGACACTCATGTCAAAAGCTCAGTCCTATAAGAGATGACCTTGCTTAGACCTCCAAGGACATGATCTAACCCACAGCATCACATGGAGATCCAGGACTGATGCCTTGCAGGTAGATCTGAGAAAGCTTAGGCATCCTGTCAGTTTTCTAAAAAAAAAGTGGATACCACATTAGGATGTGATTATTTTAACTAAATATAGATGTGAGCTTTTGGTGAGATAAATTTCACTCTACAAATGCCTCTACATCTCAGTTGACTGTAGAGAGAATGTAGGATGACCAGCCCAAAGGTGAAAACTAACAAAAAGGTGCCTAGTGCTGGATGAGAATAGTCCCTGCTTCCCAGCCAGTCTCCTCGGACTTGGTCAATGACCGAGAATATTGATATTGCCTTTTAAAGAGTTCTTTTAAAGATCTTGGATATAAGCTATCTAAGCATGCAGGGTTTTTAAAATGTATAACTTCTAGAGTGGTTTTGGGAGACTGAAATTTTAAGAATGCATTAATTACTATTAGTTATCTCTATTATACAACTCATATTTTTTTCAATATACAACAAAAATGGCTGTTGGACCCCTCTGTTACTTTTTCTGTTTACTGACAATTCCACAACTTCTCTCAAGTAACAGACCTCTACCATTAGTGACTTCCTCTTGGTCTTGGTTTACAGACAACACTATTGTCTTTGACTGTCTGTCCATTAATTTTTTTGGGTTTGCAATATTTTATTACATTCTTGTAATTCCTTTTGGATTTATACTCCTTCAATCAATGTTTCCTTTCTCCTCTTTGACATTTATGCTTCCTAAACTTAATTAACTTTATAATTCTTTAAATATTAGTAAAGATTTTTTCTTTAATTTTTCCATCTGAATTCCAGTTGAATTTTTAAATCAAGACCCTCTTTCTCAAAACCAAAACCTAAATCAATCAACTTCTTTATTCAGTCTTTTCAAACATCTAGTAATATATTTTAAATGGATTTTCAGTTACCATTCATATGCTTAATATAAATTCTCTCCCTTACTTCTGTACTTCATGAGGCTGACCCTTTAAAATCAGGAAATAAATATTCCCCAATTTGCATTTATCCTGCTGTATTATCATCAGCATTTCAGTTGTCCAGTAACAACCAGAAAAGAAACTGTATTGTCATGACACTTCCAGTAAACATGCTCTACTCAACCTCAGAAAAAACCCCAGTGCAAATCTGCATATTTATTTATGCATTTATCAATCTATTGATCTATGTATAACATAGATATCTATAACACATCTATCTATGTATAGATAGATCGATAGATCAATAGACAGATAGATATGCAAATACATACACATATATTTGTGGGGTTTTATATATAAAGAATTCATAGAATCATAGAAACCTTAAAGTTGGAAAATACCTTTAAAATCATCGAGGGCAAGCACTAACCCTGCCCTGCCAAGCCCACCACTAATTCATGTTCCGAAGTGCCACATTTACATGTTTTTTTAACACTTCCAGAGATGATGACTCAACTACTTCCTTGAGCAGCCTCCACCAGTGCTTGATCACCTTTTCAGTGAAGAAATTTTTCTGAATATCCAATCTAAATTTTCCCTGGTGCAACTTGAGGCCACTTTCT